AATCCTTTTACTTTCTTTCCTAGTTCTATATTTTTTGTTTAAAATTAGCTTTGTAAAATAATAATAATAAAAATTATGTTTCAGAAGAGAAATAGAGGGGTGGTGTTGGCCCTTATGTATGGGTTGGAAGAATCCTCTTCGGGTTTGGGGCAGATGTAGGAACGGATTGCATCCATGGGAAAAGCTGAAGCAGCTGGAGAAAGACAGAGAGGAAGACTAGAAGGAAGAAAAGAAGAGACAGCCATCAGCAGCCAGATGAAAGCGGGCGGGGGGGGGGGAGTTGCAACATTAAAGCCAAGAATCAAAAAGTCATAGTGGGGCAGAGTGACTCATCCAGCAGATGCAGCCACAAAAGAAACCTGCAGGTAGAGAAGCAGATCGATGGCAACCCACTGGTAAAAGAAAAGGCTGTGGGGGGTGGAAGGCAGGTCTGGAATAAAAGTTAATAGAGAGTCTGAAGTGAACTCAGCAGCCTTTAAAAAGCCACCAATTTGGCAGTTGCAGCTGATTGGATTTCCCAGTGAAAAGTTGGAACGGAATATAAGGATCCAATAGGCAAGGCTGAAAACTCTGAATAAGCGATCAAGATATTAGAACTTCATTTATTATGATTTGTACGGATTAGTAGTACAAATCACAGTCAAATATTGCAGTCGTGTGAAAGGCATGAGGATTGGGGAGTGCACCTGCCATGGGCCTAGGAGCAGGGCAGAGTTAGAAGAAAGATTATTTTTGTAATGACATCGCTTTTTTACCTTTGAAATGGATCGACAATAAAACCATCTTGCATGGGGCAAGCGCAATCCTGTTTCTGTCTACACCAACCTGGAGCAGATGTGAGACAAGCAGGTCCTGATCAAGAAAAGCATGCACCTTCTTGGATTGATTAACTGACTCAATAGTGTCTTGCAAAGACAGATGTGTACTCACGCCTAACGAGATTAACTTGAAATGTTTTTTTTCTCCTTTACGTCTATTGGTCTAACAGAACTGAAGAACACCAATATTTACAAGCAGCTTTTTTTTGTTGTTGTTCTTGAAGAATGTACATCTGCTTTGGAGATCTCCTTATAATTCTATATCTATTGTTGCTAATGCAATCCTAAATTGTATTCACAGAGGGATACAATCAAGATCAAGGGAGGTACTAATACCACTCTATAAAGCCTTAGTAAGACCACTCTAGGTGTTCACCACATTACAAAAAAGATGTTGAGACTAGAAAAAGTACAGAGAAGAGCAACCAGGACGATTAGGGGACTGGAGGCTAAAACATACTAAGAACTGTTGCAGGAACTGGGCTTGGCTAGTCTAGTAAAGAGAAGGACCAGGGGAGACATGATAGCGGTCTTCCAATATTTGAGGGGCTCCCACAGAGAGGAAGGGGTCAAGCTATTTTCTAAAGCACCTGTAGGCCAAAGAATAATGGATGGAAACTGAACAAGGAGAGATTTAACCTAGAAATATGGAGAAACTTTCTGACAGTGAGAACAATCAACCAATGGAACAGCCTGCCCTCAGAAGTTGTGGGAGCGCCATCACTTGAGACTTTCAAGAAGGGACTGCCATTTGTCAGAAATGGTGTAGGGTCTCCTGCTTGGGCAGGGGGTTGGACAACATGACCTACAAGGTCCCTTCCAACTCTGATTATGTTATCTGTTATCTATGTAAGATTTTTGCTATCTTGACTGTTAACTGGGTGAAACGGTCCATTATTGGGCAACAAGATACCTCAAATAGTTCAAAATCTGAGACCCATGTCTCCCATGGGAATAAAATTTGTGAAAGTTGTATTTTCTTCAGTGCTACTGAGTGATGCTACATTGTTGGGACGCTTGCTGTCCTCAAATGAGCTTCATTTCACTAACAGTTTCCCAGCCAATCTGGTAATCCCTTGCTTCATCCCTCACCCAGCAGCAAAGAATTAACTCATCCTGTGGGTCTTAAAGAAGCAACAACTTTAAAGTGCAAGAGTGAATGGCTTGGATATTTTTACTGAATTATGTGCCCCTTCTCTGGCACAAAAAACGAATGTAAAAGGCTGACCATGGTTTTGAACTTGGGTCTTTCTGGAACCAGTCTGATACCCCAATTCAGCGTGTGTCAACTATGCCAACTTTAAGACATGTGAGCTTGTATTCCCAGAATTCCTAGCCAACTGTGCTGACAGGAATTCTGGGAGTTGAAGTCCACATATCTAAAAGTTACTAAGGTTGTGAAACACTGATTTTGCTCTCAGGACCCCTTATCGCTTTAAAAAATTACTGTATGGAGAACTCTGAAAGAACTGTTATATGTATGAGTTATGTTTATTGGTATTAGTATTTATTAGCCATAGTCTAAATATACATTTATCAAATGCTATTTTTTGTCACTTCCTTGTGATCAACATTTCATTAACAAATACAAGCAATTTGATAAGACATCTGTGATCATAGTCAGTAAACTATTTGGAGGAACTTCGCGCTCTTGTGTGATTCACATCCTTGAATGTGGCCTCGCTGTAAAAGCATTTAATGTAGTGTGAGATACAACGATGAAAAGACAATCCAAATTTAGGTTTAGTGAATTGAGCAGTTCTCATTTCTTTCAGAAATGGGTCAAAAATGAAAAAAGCAAATTCCCAGTCCCATTTTGTGCTCTTTGTGCTGACAACCATGAGAAATTTGTGCTCTTCTCAAGTCTCTTTGTTCCCAAACACACCTTAAGAACACTGTAAAGTTTGTCTGAAATGAGGTCCCTACATGGCAGTCTCCGGGCTTTGAGAGCCAGCACCAGAGAGCTTGCATTGTGGTGCCAAGAGCAAGATGGCGTTCTCCCGCTTGAGGTCCAGACCAGAGGTGATATTCAGCAGGTTCTGACCAGTTCTGGAGAACCGGTACTGGAAATTTTCAGTAGTTCAAAGAACCGGCAAATACCACCTCTGAGTGGCCCCGCCTCCATCTATTCTCTGCCTCCTGAATCCCAGCTGATTGGCTGGGTCTTCTTTTGTTGCCCTGCACAGGAGAACGGAGCTGAAAAGCAGGTTAGTGGGGTGAGGAAGAAATGGGAATTTTGCAATAACCTTCCCTTGGAGTGAGGAGGGAATGGAGATTTTACACTATCTTTCCCCTGCTACACCCACCAAGCCACGGCCACCAAGCCATGGCCACAGAACCGGTAGTAAAATTTTTTGAATCTCACCACTGGTCCAGACTCAGACTCAACTGACTCCTAAATGTTTTTTTTAATAGATAGATAGATAGATAGATAGATAGATAGATAGATAGATAGATAGATAGATACAGACTGAAGTGTGAATGGCAAAAATTAAAATATTTTATTTTAAATAATTAAATAGAATTGTTAAACTGTCCCGCAGTGAGTGTTTCACAGCAAGTTGGCCATAGTGAGTTGGCTGTGGCAAGTTGTCCAATTCCCAACAATTGAAGCATCTCATGCAATTAATTTCCAAAACATTTCACTAGTTTTTAAAAACGTTGAAACATAAAAGTATTCTGTCTCCTTGAGCATTTATGTTCAATATTATCAGATAAAAACAGGGCAGCTTTGAAAGAAGAGATTTTTTTTTAAAGGTATCATTGAATAAGTTAATCATCTAATAACTTAGGGCAAAACAATTTATGCTTTGTGTTGAAGGAAATTCGTACAACTAGTGTATTATTCATAGACGAATATAAATTAGCCATATTTGGACTAGCGGATTAGTTATGGTTTCATTGCTTTCGGATTTATGGTTCCAGAAAACTTCAGTCTCTGCAAGGGAAAAACATCAAATTTCATGGTCAGATCTAAGGTAGCCAATTGTTCTTGCCAAACAGCCTGTAGCTCAAAACAAGTTACAACAGGTTTTCCATTACAGCACAACCACTTTTTGAAATCAATTATCTTTCTTCTTTAGAGTGCAGTTTTCCATTCATTTTATTAGTGTGGGTAAACTCACTGCAAAACAACTCAAGCCCTCCCTTCTTTTCCCACCAAGGTAGGCAACTGGAGACGTCTCTCTATCATTTCTCCATTCAGAAATGAAATGAAACCCGACAGGAATCATGCCACAAGAAGGTCAAGCAATCCAGTATCTCTGTCGGTGGCAATTAAATTATAGCCGTGAGAACTTCGGAACCATTTGGCAAAGTGGCATTTCTTCACTGAAGGTTGAAAATTAACATCTTTTCTTTCTGCAGCCAGTCCCGTGTTTGCCAAAGTGAGCACTACCATTTATACTTATGGTACATTCTGCCCAAACTCATGCAACTAATTTCTGATTGAAGAGGCTGGGGTCAGACTCTAAATTATATAGTGTAATTAGAGATTGGCCTTTTAAGTTCATGAGTTACAACAACTCAAGTAAAAATCTCCTAGTTACCTCCCACCCCCTGCCTTCCTCCCAGCATTTTCAATAAGAGAAAGCTCATTCCAAAACAACAAAGTGCCATAGCAGTGGTGGTTCAAATAGAACACTCTTTTCATCCAATTGGACAATTACAACAATTTTGTCTACTCTGACCAGCATTATTTCTCAGGTTCTTTGACATGACAGGTTTTTTTCCATCACCTTAAGAGAATTTTTACAGAAGGTAATAAATATATAATAAATGGGAGAATCTTGATTCACTTGTACAGTTTCCAAACCAATAGGCTGTTGGAGAGAAATTATAGAAAGGAACTTGGGGTTCTGTCCAAATGGAATGGAGTGGGATCAAATCTGGTGTGGAGAGAGAAGCTGGGGAAAGGATTTGGAAATAGGCTGGATCAAGCTGTGAGCTATGGAGGAAAAGAAAAAGAAGAACCAGAAAAATGTTCTCCAGTACCTACCTCTGTGGGAGAGGCAGCTGAGTATGGCGTTGACTTCTCCATTACAGGCCTTCTTTCTCCTGGTGACCCAGAGTTGGACGTATAATGGAGAAGTCAGCAGGCCACTCCTTGGGCTTCTAGCATATGCAGATGCATCAGAGGTGAAAACAGAAATACAAAGTCCCTGGAGGGTCACAAATGTGAATTTAATAAATAAATGTACAGATTACATTCCTTTCTACAAAGAAAGATCAAACGCCCTGTACAGCCACTGGCGGTAAAGGGTTGGAAACATTTCCGGATGCTATGTTCTGTATTTTATTTCCTTCTTAAAACAGTATTTTCATTCTGATCTAGATTCTAGGAAAACAATACATTTGGTAACAAATGTCTATCCAGTTGCATTTTCTTCAGCATACACATCTTTTCACTGCATAATTGCAGTTAGTATATTTACATAGTATAAAAATGTGACCATCGCTCTTCATTAAGCTAGTAAATCTTCTTGGATGCTGTGACTTCCCTCCATCACCCCATCTTTCTAGGCATATCTAAAATCCAACGCAGAGTATCCCCCATCTCTTGACCAGGGATCGAGAGGGTCATGGCAGAAGGTGGGACAATCTGTTCTGCTGCTGGACGCTGCTTTGAGTGTTTTCTCTCCCACCATTTTTGAGATTTCTGAGTAAGATGAGATATAATTTGACCCCTTCCCTGGATGCCTTCTCTCTGTTCCTTGGGAGGCAATCCTGGCATCACACCCTGGCTTTGAACAAATCATGATCTGAATCAGGAGGAGTCAGATAAAGTGGAGAGATGCCCAAGCTGAAGCAGATCAAATTATAAAACCACTGAATCTTGTTTAGAACAGCAGAAACTCACAGATTCCAGTCCATGTAATTGCAAAAATGGATACATTTTCTTTCAAGCTTTCTGTGTAAGAAAATCATCTGATCTGTTATGTTTAATATCACAGTGGTTTTACCAGAGATTTATAGTCGGGGCTTTGCAGTGTTCAGTGTTCTTTGCCAGTTTTCTCTGGGGAGCAAGAGAAATAGGATCTATTGATTATTTTTCATTATCTCTAACTTCTACAATTATGAAATTTTAAAGCCCACGTTTTCTAATAACTTTCACCCAATTGTAAAAATTGTTTTCCAAAGAGGTGGTCCTACCACCAAATTGCTTGGCATTTCCATGACAATGAAAGGCCTTATAATACCGTGACATTTTAAAATTCTGGAAGCAATTGGTTTTCATTGTTTTATATGTTTCTTATTCTGAACTATTTGGTTGTGTTTTCATGCCATCCAATTTAAATATTTATTTAAACTATGTTCACATTCTAAAGCTCTCTAATTGTTACTTCTTCTGTTCTTGGAACGACAAGTAGTTGAAGCTAGATGAAGGCAGAGATTAATGTGCACTATATAGTGGAATAGTTGGATAAATAGTATCTGCATCCATTTGGTGATGTATTTACATGCTTTAACTATAGAACTGGATTGTTTCTCCTATTCTTTTAGATTTGTATTCCCAGCAGATTAGAGAAAAGTAATCCCAAATTGCTTTCCTTCTGTAGTTGCTCAGATATCATGACAGATGACGAAAAAACTAATGTGATATACCATTGGATTACTGGATAAGGTGTTTTGTATGTTATAGTTTATAAAAATATTAGTATAGATTTTCTAGCATTCTCCACTTAATTCTGAGACTCATTTTAGATGTATATATAAAGAGCTCTAATTATATAATTTTCTGGCATGATTACTATATACAAACCTAGCTATGTGTAGGCAGAAAGAATGATGTATTGTCATATTAGCAAAAAAGCTGCTATATCAGTGAAGAGGTAAATTATGGCACTTTTCCAATTTTGTATTATGTAATTTTCTTGACAGCAATTCATTGCCCCATGCAGAGCAATACAACACAACTCACTGTATAGAAAATTTTTGAAAATATTGAAGTCTTCATGAAAATCTAATCTGATCAAAACTTCTTTTAAATGATCAAAAGTTGATAGTTTTCACAATTATAATTCAACATGATTCATGATTAAAAATAAATAGCATTGTTTTTCTCCCGAAAACGCCATGAGTTATTTAAAAGTAAACTAAAAATATTCCATTATTTGCAATGCATATCTACAATTTATTGCTTGATCAGAACTAGGGTCACAAACAGATTTTCAACACAGAAATTCTACAATGTTAGAAATACACACTCATAGAACTAGTTTATTGACAATGTTTCTAAAGTAAATTTGAACTGGAGAAATTGTCACCAATACCTATTTCCTTAAGTGAACCTCATTTCCCCCCATAACCATATGCAGAATTTCCTGAATGTCAAAAACATATTTTAAAAATTAACAGACATAAAACAGTTTGCTTTTATGAACACTGAAGAAAAACTGCGCAAAAGTCTGCGTTCAATTACAGCGTATCTATTTTCAAATGCATTATGGCTGCTCTAGGCCACTGTGACTTTTGCTTGAGATCTCCTCAAGCTATACCTGATCCAGTTCAATGACTTGAAAGTTTATATCCACTGCCAAACAAATATCCAGAATCTTCAGTCCAGCCCAGAGCTGGATTGTGAGTGCTTCATTGTCAATTTATATAGATTCCAAATATATTTCCAACTATATGTCCTATGAGTCTGTCTTTGCCAAAGATCCTTTCCCAATATCTGCTTAGCTACCAAATTTAGAAAAAGAGGTGGGCAGAAGTTACTGAAGCTTAGTGCTGGCGAGTCAAATTCACGCAGGTCTCTGAATGAGGATAGGAATGCTGAATTATACACCTATTTTGAGATATGCAGTTCACGTATGCATGGACCTGCTCTTCGGTACCACCTTAGAACAAGATGGGATACCTGTTATTTTCCAGATGTTCCTATATTGTCCAATTGTTACCATTTATCCTCATTGGCCATATTAGCTTTGGGGACACACCCATCACTGATGGTATTGTTGCCACACATCACAGACATAAAGCACTCTAGCTTTGAGATTAAACATGTTTTAAATTAAGAAATCCACGTATAATGTTATAAAGTAGGTGCCTGGGGATTTCTGTTTTATTATTTTTCATTTTGATACTAGAAACAAACATGGTAACAATCAATCTAAATAGGCATGATCCAGCCAAAATAAAGCACCTTTAGGTTCTACTGATTTAAGGGAGAACAATAAGCACTTAAACTGATTCAGAAGTATATAACTTCAGATGTATATCATCTACATTGTTTTTTTTTTTACTAGAAAACTTGCCCATCAGAGTTTCTAGGTAATATTTAGCTAAGTGCAGTAATTAATTTCAAATTTAACATTCAAGGCAACAGGTGAGAAGAACTACATTTAAATTCAAATGTTTCTGAACATAATTATTAAGCAGTTACAAACATTAAGATGAATCTTAGTATTATACAGCATGTTGCTACACATCATTTATTATGGATGAAGTGGTAATCAACATATCTGATTATTACAGCAGCAAAAATCTACAACTGTTCTGCGCCATGGAATAAGTTCTGAAGCAGCATTTTTAGTTTTAAAGAGAAAAGGCAAAAAAAGCCATAAATTATATATTTTAAGAATTCTTTTGAGGCATCCATTAAATTTCTGTGCTTTACTCTTGACAATGTATACCCACACAATCCTGCATTTATACATAGTCTTCAATAATTATGCAGGTAACTGTGAAGTAGGTTTTATGCAGTAGTGATTAAAGTGCAAAATATTTGGTACAAAATCTTAATGACTACTGTAACTTGTTTCGATGGACACTGGAGAACTGAGACTGGATCTTCCATTGATGGCAATAGTGTTTGATGGAGGTGCAACCTGGAAAAGAAAATATTGTCAGGATCATAGAAAAAAACTAGGCCTGGATACCATCCATCTCCCATTTCAACATGCATCTGTTTTAAAAGCTATCCCCCTGAGCAACATCTAATTATTAGGATGAGATGTCTACTCGGACCCCATTCAATAAAGAAGTGTATATAGGTTTGATAAAGGGAGTAATGTGGTGTGGTCAGCGAAGGCTGAGAAGATTTGGGTTCAAATATTAATCAATCTTGACATTCAGTGGAGGTGTCTCTGGACAGATCTTCTGGTTTAACAAACAGCGCAAATTGGTAGGACAAGATGAGATGGAAGAAGCATATCTCCAAGGTTAAAAAACAGGAGACAAAGATGTTAAAATATGAAAATACAAAATCAAACAGAATTGAGGAATAGGTTTTAAGATCCCCCCATTTTGCATGTTTTAAAATAGGCCTAAATTTGGGGGGAGGGGCTTAATTTCATTTTATGCCTAAAAAACATGCTGGGTCTTCCTATTGGCGGGGCGTATTATTGGAGAAACACAGTATTACATGAGTACAAAGGAAAGAGGAGGATTGGGTTTACCTGACTTGAAATTACATTTTTTTTATTTATTCGATTTATATCTCACATACCCCACTACTGTAATTAAACTTCTCTGCTTGTTGGTCAGTTTGGATGAAAGAATGGATATTGCCAGGGGTGGGATCCTACTAGCATTACAACCGGTTTGGTGAGTACGCATTTTGCACGTGTGCACACTGTTGACAAATCACTGGCTCCTGCAAGCTTTCACCTTTTCCTGCTGATGCGCGGCACAGCTAAGTGCCATGCAAAGCAGCTGAGCTGGAAAAGGCAGAGAATAAAGATCAGCCTAGATCCCGGGCGGGTGGGTGGGCCAAGTAGCAAACCAGAAGATTGTCACAGCGAACTGGTTTGGTCTCAACTGCTCTTCGGAGCTGCCAGATCAGTAGAACCGGGCCAAACCAGTAGCATCCCACCCCTGGATATTGCTGAGAAATAGAAGGCCACTTGAGTTAGAAGGATGTGATCAACTGGTTTGGGGACCACAGAACCCATCGAGTGGCTCATCTTATTATAGTTGGGGGGGGGGGGAATTATTGTTTTTTGTATTGCAGTTTTATCCTTGTAAGCTGCCCAGAGTCATGGACAGTGAGTTGAGCAGCCATATACATTTTCTTAAATAAAATGAGCTCAGATTTGGATGGCATCAAGATTTGCAATTAGGATTAGGCTAAAGTTGATATAGATTTTAAAAACCATTATGTCAGGTATGCCATTTTGAGAACATGGAATAACTCAAACTCAGATTGTGCATATAATTACTTCTGTGGTCTCAATATTTTGTAGCATTTTATAGACATAATTATTTTTAAAATAAGCAAACATAAATGGTTAATTTATCATGATATATTATTTTTTTCAAGAAAATGTAAAATAAAATCAAGAAAAGATTTAGTAGCAATGAGGGACACTTGTCAACAGCTTTTTTATGCATAATGATCAGAACATTTTAATTTAGAAAAAAGAATTTGTGATATTGTAAGTCTCATTTTGAAATATACTATATATAAAAGATGAACATGTTATTGCAAAATGTATAAACTTTGACTGAAATTTGAAATTAAAGAAATTAAAGAATGTATTTATAACATAGGCTAAAATACAATATACAAAGGAAACCACGGGAAAATATATAGTTTGAAATGATTGAAATTTACCTTATGTTCTAATCTTAAAGGGAATTTTTTATAAAATGATGTATCACCGGTATATATCATCAGAGAACTTGTCTAGATAGATAGATAGATAGATAGATAGATAGATAGATAGATAGATAGATAGATAGATAGATAGATAGATAGATAGAATTCTTTATTGGCCAAGTGAGATTGGACACACAAGGAATTTGTCTTGGTGCAAATGCTCTCAGTGTACATAAAAGAGAAGATACATTCGTTAAGAATCAAGCATCATAAGGTACAACACTTAATGATAGAATATACAAAGGTATTTGTATTTATGTTGGAAATAGAAAAGGGACATGTTATCATTTTGGTAAATATGTAAAAAAGGCAAAAAAATTTGGCTGTCTGAAAACCTCTTACATTTTTGGAATGAAACAGGAAAAAGTGGTATGATTCCTGGCTTTGATTAGAAAATAAATAAATAGAAGTAACTTTTCTTTTTGTAACTGTAGAATAAAGGGTAGTTTTATAATTGTGTTTATATTTGCTGCAAGAAAATCCTATTACATTGCTATTTCTTTTTATTCTTGGTGTTTCTTTTTTTCCTTTATTTTCTTTATATTAATTTTTGTTTTCATCTATTCAAAATACTTAATAAAAAATCATATAAAAGAGGTAATATCTCCCTGCTTCTCAAAGAGCATGGGATAAAAAGCAAGCAAGCAAATAAGCCACCTACAGACCGCCTCAGTTTGAAACAGTTTCCATGTTAATTAATATTACATTAATTTAAAGATCATGAGTTGGAAGAGAGCTCTTTATGGACACACAAGTACATTTAACTGATTTGGAACTTGTCTTCCTGCTATTTAGAAATCTGTTAAGATTCGTTCACCCAGCACCTTAGCCATTATAGCAAGGGAACAATATGATACTCTATGACTCAGTTCAGGGTAAAAATTAGTGGATTCTGCCCACTGTGAACTATTTTGCTTCTATCATTCCCCAAAACCTTATTTCAGCCCCAACTTAACAACAGACATGGGGCTTAGGGGTGAAAAAAAGGTAATAGCTCCTGCAAGGCTGCAATCAGTGAATGAAGTCAACAGACACATGAATGAGATATACATTTTGCTTTTTAAAAAGAAGATTTTTAAATTATCTTAAACATTATCTTAACGGGAAGAGACTAGTCATATGATGGAAACATTCTGGAGAGATAAATAGCTACAAGCCTTGCTCTCTTTTGACCCATTTGATTAGCAATTAATGAGGGCTTAATTCAACAGAAATAAAGCTGCAGCACAAAAGGCCACAGAGTTTTTGGCTCTATACCCAAACAAGTTATTAAATGGAGGAAAATGTTTGGCTGACAGAAGAAACAGGGTTTTTTTTGCCTCATTTCTTAAATACTTGGCAGTTCGTGAGAGCACCTGATAGACCTTTTACCTGATTTACTAGAGTAAAGCATTCACCCAACATCCTTTCTCCTTGCTCTCTATGCACAAGGGAATCAAGGAGCCTGCCAGCCTGCTGTCATTAAGGGTTTAATTCTCTCACATGCAACAGGTCTTGTTTTAAAAAGCTGAAGTGACAACTTGCAGCCACAGCCTGACATCATCTTCACAAGAGGCATAAAAATAAATTTGATACCGTGGTTTTCTCATCAAAGTTTCATTTCCTGATATTGTTAAGATAGTGCAAAAGTCTAATCAACAGGATACTCTTTTTTTTTTTGGTGGTGGGGAGAGTTCTTCAAATGGAGAACAATTGAAGAAAATCTGAAACAACTTCTAAAAACGAATGGATCTAAATAGATCCATCCTGGCTGTATTAGTTCACCTTAGAGCCCATTCCAGGGGTGGGATTCTACAGGTTCACACCTATTTGCTAGAACCTTGTTATTAACATTCTAAGCAGTTTGGAGAACCGGTTGAAATCACTGGCCTAATCCTGTAAGGAAGGCAGGAAGGAAACATTCTGGTGTTGCTTACAGAAACTGCCTCTCCATTAACCCTTATTACATTCTTGGCAGGACTAGACTTCCTGTCAAAAACCTTCCGGAGTTTTTTTCCCCTCCTTTGCTGGTACTTTGCTTGTGTGGAGTGACCATTCAAAGTTACAATGGCGCTGAAAAAAGTGCTTTATAACCATTTTTCACACTTACAACTGTTGCAGCATCCCTACAGTCATGAGAGGCCAGGCAAGGAGATGCGTGCCTCGATGTGAGTGATGTTGAGTTGGCCACGCCCACCAACTAAGCCACACCCACAGAACCGGTTATTAAAAGATTTGTATCCCAACCCTGGCCCATTCTCTTTCCAATGCACAGTTTTCAAAATGAATGGATCCACGGCCTTAGTTACTCTTCATTTTTCACTATGTATTTACTTATTTAATCAAGCCCATAGAGGGCCTCACAGCAGTTGAAGAAAAACAAGTGACAATAGAATTACTAATAGCAGAACATTGTAGCTCATTATAAGAACAATGAAAAACATGCAGGGAGCCAGTTCACATTTCACCCTTCCAAAGGAACTGCTGGAAAACCTTGATCTTCAAAGCTTTACAAACACACAACAGATTTGGGGTCATACAGGCATCAGAAAGAATGCTGTTGCAGAGAGCATGTATGGCTATGGAGAAGTCCCTGCAAGATGGCACTGCTTTACCATGAGAACTTGGAGCGAGCAAACTTTCCAGATCTTATCAGAGGGGTAGAAACAACTAAAAGAGGCCACCCCCAAGCCCCATGAAGTGACAGCCAGCCCTTTGAATTGCGGCTGGAAGCTAATTGGTCAAAATAGTGGTACAACACAATGGGAGTATGAAATAATGATGTTACACAAGCAAAATGAGACAAGACCATAATTACTTCCATCCCTGTGTTTTGGACCAATGCAGTTTCTGAGTAGACTTTAAGGTAGCCAAATGTAGGGTGCACTGCAATAATCCAAACAGGTGGTGATTAAGGCACCCCAGTCCAGAATAATTCTCTGTGTATAGATTTTGTCCTATTAAGAACTAGAGGAAAACAAAAATTCTGTAAAAAAAATCTGCAAAATATTCTGCTGAATATACATGAAAAATATCCAGTATGGTATTTTTTAAGTACCGATTTTGAAACTTGAAGCCTATAAACTTTAAACCGATGCCACCATCTTTCTGCTTTACTGCCTTGATTTTCAAGAAGATACTGAGTTAACTATCTGCTTCAAAGGCTGAAGAGATTTAGGGAAGAGGGAGGAAGTGCAGGTATGAAGCTGGTTTATAAAAGACCTTAACTTGGAAAATACAAATGAGTCAGGAAACTGAAAGAGGGGATGGAGGAAAGGGGAAAGTGGCCAGGCAAATAGGAAGAGACGGAAGCTAAGGATACGGAACAATCTGATATCCTCTATCATCAGTCAGTAATGATATGATATATAACGTCTAGTTAATTATATACCTACTGTGTTTCCCCGAAAATAAGACTGTCTTATATATATTTTTGCCACCAAAAAAGGCATTTTCAGGAGGGGATGTCGTCCACCGACTCATCTCACTTGTGTGCATCGTCCCCGGCCTCCTTTTTGCTGTCAGAGGCCTTCAGGAACTTCTTCTGCAGCCAACAAGGCTGTCCTGAAGGCCTCTGCAGCCAATAACAGAGATCCGGATTGATTCAGAACTCTATTATCGGCTGCAGAGGCCTCAGAAAAGCCTTGCTGGCTGTAGAAAACATGGGCCAATAAGGCAGGCCTCGGGGGGGGTGCGAGGCCTGGCTGCAACTGTCCGAAGGGAAGTAGTAGGACGGCTCCACCACCACCATCCCCACCATAGCTTAATTTTCACCCATACACTCTGGAGTTGGCGGGGTCTTGATTAGGGCTTATTTTGGGGATAGGGATTATATTGGGCACACATGTAAAAATCAAGCTTTCGGGGTAGGTAGTATATTCGGGGAAATGCAGTAGGTCTAGGAGGTTAACCAGATCAAAGTCAGAAACAACAGTTTTGAACACGGATCTATTTCCTATTGGCATTATTTTTTTTAAAAAAAATCATCCCACGTTCACAAGATTCGCTCATCAATAATCATATTCTGACCATTACACTGACTTTGAAAGAAGCCCCCTAAACCCCCTGCTGTTGATTTAATGCTGAGCGGGAGAAGGGAGGACAGCGACTCACCCGCCTCAATTTGGCAGCAGCCTCTCCAGAGCGGATTGCAGCCAGCAAGCTCTGGTGGATCTGTTCTGGGTCAGGGCGCTGGACTGCTGCAGCAAGACTTCTCTCACAGATAGCGGTGGCTGGATGGTTGAATAAAGGGGGTGCCTGCCTGTTTTGCTCATAGCTTGCATCGTTAGTCTTCTGCTGGGTTAAAACATGGCCCAAGTAAGGTTAGTGGAGTGTGTTACCATCATTCTGAGCACATGTTCAAAGAGCTCTAGGTTTCTAACTACAAAGCATTGTAACACCTAACATATTTATGAAGCTTTCATGGATCCAGAATAATCAATCAATCATTCATTTATTATTATTATTGGAGGGGGAGGATTAAGGTTGCCACAAAATTCAGGTAATACACATGACTGTCTAATGTCGGACAAATAACTCACTCAAATATTCCGGTATGAAGAGATAGAACTGGGGATAGGGGAGAGGCAATGCCGTTGTGAATGTATGTTAAATATAAGTTTTACCTTGTCTGTCAGGATTTGCTGAGTTGTTGGACTCGGTATAGATGAATGATCCTTTACTTCGGTGCTGGATGCTGATGTGCTAAGGTCAAGAGAAGATTGTTCTTTTAATGGCCTGGTTGTATTGGCGCATGTTTTACTGAAGGACTGTGATCTTTTAACTGCTGATGATACAGCAAGAGCAAAAGGTGAAGGTTTAGGAGAAGAGTATGGCTGAGGCAAAACAAAAGTCCGCAAAGTTTTCAAATGTAATGGAGAAAGCTGGGTTGAAGGAG